TACACAAAAAAAAAAAAAAAAAAAAAAAAGTTTTCCCCCCCACATCTCGTCAGCATTGCCTTGTGAGGTATGTTAACATGGGGAGAAGGGAGGCTCAGATGGAAAATAATTTGTCCAAGGTCACACAAAGTTAGCTCCACAGCCAGTAGTCTCTCTGGCTGTGCAAGTCCTCACTGTCACCCTGTTAGTAGAGCAGAATCCTGACCTCTTGGGGGCCAGGGACAGTGGTCATCTGTTCTACCTCCACCCAGATAAAGCCACACCCCAACCTCCACCATGTCCCTGGCCTTGACCAGAGCAGGGATGCCTCTCGCATCCTCAGGCAGATGCTAATACAGTAGATTACCCCATCCCCTGCCTTCCTACCACACAGCAGCACGAAAGGTTAGCTGCCTCCTGCTGAATGAACTACAAGAGGCCAGTCCAGCCGGGGCTCTAGGGCTCTGCAGGCACGTGTCCTGACCAGCTCATCGGAATGGAGTGGAAGTTTGGTAACCATCGTCCCAGCACAGGGGAAGGTGTGAGGAGTTGACTGGAACGGCTCTCAGGAGGGGCAGCCACGCTGCTTCTGTGTCAGGTGGTTGAGTCCGGAGCACCAGAGATAGTTCGGGCTTACCATTCCGATGTGAAGATGCCCAGAAGAGGGAAAGGACTCGGTAAGGCCATGTGTCCATTTAGGGCAGAGCAGCACTAAAAGCCACATTTGGGAGGCTGCCAGGGATTTCAGCAGTTTGTAGCCAAAACTATTCCCTTGGCAGCCCAACCTGTAGTGCTCACTTGTTACCCTCCTGGTTCCCTGTCAGGGGCTCCAGGCCCCATGATGACCTCTGCAGCCTGGGTCTAGTCTCCATTGAATTCAGCCCTGACCCTTTGCCTGTTCTACATTCCCAGGCTGTCCTTCAGAGTGGTGACTGGAGCGACCCAGGCCAGACTGGGCGGTGAGTAGAAGGAGCCAGGAGCTGCGCTTGTCCAAACATGCGTCTGGCTCCTGAGAAGCAAGTGGGGTGGGGGTGGGGAGGCAGCCCCTCAGGCCACAGGGTGTGTGGCAAGGTCAGGCTTGGTCTTCAGGACACTTCCTGATAGTCCTGGTCACACTGCCCTCTCTGGGGGACACCAGCCAGAACCAGCTTCTCAGAAAGGCTCTGCCTGGGTAGAGGAAGCTGGGCTCTCCGTCCCCTGGCTGGCCTTTGCTTATTTAAGGGTCCTGGGACCCTCTGTCCCCTTCCTTTAGTCTCCCACTCCCCTCGAGACTGAGGCCAGCAGAGGAGCCAGCGTACAGGACGGGAGCTGATAAAAGGAATTTTTTTCTTTAATTTTATGAACCTCTCCCTCTTCTTCCTCTAATTGTGACTGTTTCCTCTGTCAGCGTGTGTTCATGTTTTCTTGAACATTTAACAATTGAAACAGCTTTTCCCTTTCAGAAACACTCACATTCAGGTTACTGGCGTTGGTTTGGTTTTTGTTTTGGCTTTTTTTTTTTTTTTTTTTTTTTTTTTTATTTTTTTTTGTTTTTTTTTTTTTTTTTTTTTTTCTCATCTGCTGCCAATTAATGGAGGAAAAAAACTGAGCTGAATTTCTTTGAGGAGGAGAAAAAGCTCCCTGCCACACAATATTGCCTTCAGCATTTTGGTCTCAGAGTACAACCTCCAGCCAACAACAGGCCTTGTTGCTCAGAAACACAGAGCTGTGTTTTGGGGCTTTTTCATTCTTTCTCTTCTTTGCTGGCTCCATTATTGACCAACACAATGCCCTGACCACTTAAGTAGCTCTGTCCTTGAGTACTGAGGAGTTGAGGACCCTTTTGGCAGCCCTGCACAACAAGATGGCATCCAGAGGGAGAAAAGAGGCTTTGTGGGGAAGTGCACCTGCCTGTCATTCCAAGGCCCTTCAGTCCAGGGAATCCTAGAGAGACATAGCAGCTCTTGGTAGGAAAGTGATTTGGAAAAAAGAAAAAAGCTCTGAATCTTCAGGCTCAGTACAGAGCAGTTCTGGGCTAGTGACCCTCAGGGGCCAGAGTGTGGACCAGAGGACCCTGATGATGCTTCCAGAAATGGCCTCCAACAACAGAGCCTCAGGCCTCTGCAGCAGTCCCAGGACCAAACTTTTAGACACCCCAGACATGCAGAAGTGGCTAGTATTACTTAACCACGGCCTGGCAGGGACAGAGAGCCAGGTCTACCATGTTCTCCCAGGGACAGCACAGGCAGAAACTGCAGTCGGGGCAGGCTGCATTTTGGAGTTGGCCTGTGGATGTCCCCAGGGGCCCCTGGCTGAATCAGGCGGCCAGGCAGAAAACTTTCAGGATTTGCTGCTTTACCAGCAAAGGTCAGATCTCAATCTCAAAGGCACTCCTAGGACACAGGTGGCCCTCAGCCTCCCCGTTCCCGCCTCAGGGCTGTGTGTATCACTGTCTCCTTCCAGCCACTTCACTGCAAATGTGTCGTGTATAGTTCCAATTCTGTGTGATACACTGTGTGATGATGGATATTTAACATGAAGTTTTTAATAGATGTTTCTGTAAGTGTGCCTCGAGTGCACGTTTTACTTTTTTTTTTTTTTTTTTTTT